ACATGCTCAAGGAACAAAATCACAACCCATAACCAAGATCTTCTAACAAGGGAAATAACCATCTTTTCACTTAAATGAGATTTATTACGGTTATTATGTCCCTTTAGTCAGATGGCGAGGCGTTAATTAATTGTTTAGTTTAAAAAAAAGGAAAAAAACGTGATAAAACGCGGATAATCCAAATTTATGCAAATGTTGCAGAATTACACGAAAAAACGCGGCCGCACAATCGCATAATCCTATGGGGACAGTAATATTAATAATAATAAATAGCACATTATAGTGGTAATCAGTGATATCTCGTCATACTGTACTGTCAGCCCTGCTGTACCGTTAACTTTTTGCTCGTGCTGAGGTAGGCAGTATAATAACGAGGTTTGATCGCACTGTCAACTGCCATTACCAAAACCTCTTCGATTCGACTTTCCTTTTTTTCTAATTTCATGTCTCTGTCATGGGGTACCAGTAATCTAATTAAACAGTGTTTGACAAGTTTCCTACATATTTGAAAAGTAAAGATTTCTCTAATGTATTCTTTTGTGACTCTGAAGGTTGCTAACCTCCCCTACACACACACACACACACACACACACACACACACACACACACACACACACACACACACACTCACAATCTTCACACTTGTAAAGGTTTTCTTAGAATTCTACATATTCTGCAACTTTCTAAGCCATTACTGTGTGCAGACTGTATCTCCAACTTCACACAAGACTAGAAAGATTTTCTGCTACATGTATTACAACTGTCTTTGTTCAAACAGACTATAACTGTTTATCTTTCCTTACACCAAAGGCTTTTCAGGAGAAGGGTTTTTCTCGTGTTTGTGTGTTCTTTCGTGTCTCTTCAGGTAGCGATTAACTGAAAACTGTAAACCACAAACTTCACATTTGTAAGGCCTTTCTCCAGTGTGTGTTCTCTTGTGTAGCTTCAGGTCCCTTTTACGTGCAAATCCTAGACCACAAACTTCACACTTGTAAGGTTTTTCTCCAGTGTGCGTACCTTTGTGACTTTCCAGACTGCCCCACAGTGAAAACCCAACTCCACAGATTTCACACTGGTAAGGCTTTTCTCCTGTGTGTCTTCTTTTGTGTCGTTTCAGGACATTACTGTACGCAAACCCTAAACCACAAACTTCACATCTATAAGGCTTTTCTCCAGTGTGTATTCTTTTGTGACTCTTTAGATTGCAACTGTCTGCAAATCTCGAGCCACAAACATCACATTCGTAAGGCTTTTCTCCAGTGTGTGATCTTTGGTGCATCCTTAGGTTGAAGGCCTGTGCAAACCCTGAACCACACACTTCACACTTGTAAGGTTTTTCTCCAGTGTGTATTCTTTTGTGATTCTTTAGGTTGCCGTTCTCTGTAAACTTTGAGCCGCAAACATCACATTCGTAAGGCTTTTCTCCAGTGTGTTTTCTTTTGTGCACAATTAGCCTACTGTTGTATGCAAACCCTGAACCACAAAATTCGCACTTGTAAGGCTTTTCTCCAGTGTGTGTTTTTTTGTGAACCATTAGCTGGCTCATATATGCAAACCCTGAACCACAAATTCCACATTTGAAAAGCTTTTCTCCTGTGTGTATAAATGTTCTTTGGTGAATTTCTAGAGTGCTCTTCTGTAAGAAATCAACTTCACAGATTTCACACTTGTAATTGGGAGGCTTTTTATCTATGTGTGTTCTTTTGTGTTGCTTCAGGTCGTCAATATGTGCAAACCCCAAACCACAAACTTTACACTTGTAAGGCTTTTTTCCAATGTGAATTAGTCTGTGAATCTGTAGACTGCTCTTCCGTGAGAACTCAAGTCCACAGATTTCACACTTGAAAGATTTATCTCCTGTGTGTGTTCTTTTGTGACACTTCAGGTCATAACTACATGCAAACCCTGATCCGCAAACTTCACACTTGTATGGTTTTTCTCCAGTGTGTGTTCTTTTGTGAACTTGTAGAGAGCTCTTCCATAAGAACCCAACTCCACAGATTTCACACTTGAAAGGGTTTTCTCCTGTGTGTGTTATTTTGTGACTCTTTAATTGGCCACTCGATGCAAACCCTAAACCACAAACTTCACACTTGTAAGGCTTTTCTCCAGTGTGTGTTCTTTTGTGAGTTTGAAGACTGCTCCTCCATGAGAACCTGACCCCACAGATTTCACACTTGTAAGCTTTTTCTCCTGTGTGTATTCTTTTGTGACACTTCAGGTCGTAACTACGCGTAAACAATGAACAACAAACTTCACACTTGTAAGGTTTTTCTGTTGTGTGTGTTCTCTTGTGAATCTTTAGCTGGCTATTCTTTGCAAACCTTGAACCACAAAGTTCACATTTGTAAGGCTTTTCTCCTTCACCCAATCTTCCGTCACTCCCACACTCAAGTCCAACAGGAGTAGCGGCACTATCTTGTCCAGTGGAAGTCTCTGTGTGCAGATGAGGTGCTGTAACACCAGAAGACTGTGTGCAAGAAAGGTCCACACTTGTATTTGCCATTATCATCATCCGTGCAGAAGTGCAATCTTTTGACTTCTGGCCAACATAATTGTCATTCACACTATTGCTGCACATTTCCTGATCATATGCTTTGCCATGATTGAGATCACATGCTCCCTCTGGGTCATGGTTAACAGAAGAAGTTGTTTCTTCCAAGACACAATCAGCTTTTCTCCGACTACTTATAATTTGACTTGCGTCAACAACACAACCACTACTGATTCTTTTGTGTCGCTTCAGGCTGTTAGTATGCGTAAACCCTAAACCACAAACTTCACACTTGTAAGGTTTTTCTCCAGTGTGTGTTCTTTTGTGACCTTGCAGACTGCCCCATAGTGAAAACCCAATTCCACAGATTTCACACTGATACGGCTTTTCTCCTGTGTGTTTTCTTTTGTGTCGCTTCAGGACATTACTGTACGCAAACCCTAAACCACAAACTTCACATCTATAAGGCTTTTCTCCAGTGTGTATTCTTTTGTGACTCTTTAGATTGCAACTTTCTGCAAACCTTGAGCCACAAACGTCACACTCATAAGGTTTTTCTCCAGTGTGTTTTCTTCTGTGAACAATTAGTTGGCTATTGTACACAAACTCTGAACCACATACTTCACATTTGTAAGGCTTTTCTCTAGCATGTGCTCCTTTATGAATCATTAGCTGGCTCATGTATGCAAACCCTGAACCACAAATTCCACATTTGAAAAGCTTTTCTCCAGTGTGTGTACATGTTCTTTTGTGAGTTTCTAGAGTGCTCTTCTGTAAAAAGTCAACTTCACAGATTTCACACTTGTAATCCGAAGGCTTTTCACCTATGTGTGTTATTTTGTGTTGCTTCAGGTCATCAATATGTGCAAACCCCGAACCACAAACTTCACACGTGTATAGCCCTTTTCCGGTGTGTGATCTTTTGTGACTTTGAAGACTGCCCTTCCGTGAGAACCTGATTCCACAGATGTCACACACATAAGGTTTTTCTCCTGTGTGTATTCTTTTGTGACATTTCAGGTCGTAACCTCGTGCAAACGCTGCACCACAAACTTCACACTTGTAAGGTTTTTCTCCTGTGTGTGTTCTCTTGTGAATCTTTAGCTGGCTATTCTTTGCAAACCTTGAACCACAAAGTTCACATTTGTAAGGCTTTTCTCCTTCACCCAATCTTCCGTCACTCACACACTCAAGTCCAACAGGAGTAGCGGCACAATCTAGTCCAGTGGAAGTCTCCGAGTGCAGGTGAGGTGCTGTAACACCAGAAGACCAGGTGCAAGAAAGGTCCATACTATTCACACTATTGCTGCACATTTCCTGATCATAATCATACACTTTGCCATGATTGAGATCACACGCTTCCTCTGGGTCACGGATAGCAGAAGCAGTCGTTTCTTCCAAGACACAGTCAGCTTTTCTTCCATTACTTATAATTTCACCTGTGTTAATGACATAACTAGAACTGACTCTGTTCCTTCCGTTCCTAAGGCACAGCTGTGTTGCTTGGTTTGCGGAGGTTGGCAGACTCTGGTCGAAAAAAATGCGGCCTGGAAAAAACCCAAAAATAATACAATATATTATAAAATATAATATAATAAGAATAATTGATTCCCGTCATTTTCTCTCTGCGTCGGTTCCCAGGATAACCTGGTGCAATACAGTCATTATTGTACATTTCATGACCAGTCCCATCTTCCGAATCCCACCTTCTGTTTCCCATCTCTCACCTCTTGTTTCCCATGTACCGTATCCAATTTTCCATATTATATACATCCCATATCCCGACTTTAAATTTGTAAGGGCACTTTGTTTTCCTTCATCTCATGGGATGGAAAACTTAAAGCTGGCCAAAATATTAAATATATACGTCACTGTCGTCACTGACTAAAACCGGCTGACTTAAACCGGCAGTGGACACTCCCCCTAAACGAAGCTTTAGTGCTGTGAAAGTAACCTCAACAGCGCCTGCAAACTGCATTCAGGGTGCTGTGAATGTAGCCTGCCAACTACGTTCATGGCGACGTGAACGAAGCCACTGTGATTACAAAAATATGGTTTGACAGTCACATAATCTGTCATACATCATTTACTCTGATAGGTGATGTGATCCTTAACATAATTTTACCTTGTTGATCCCAGCTGCCCAAGTCAGTAGAGCCGGAATTTGTGACACTGTATTTCAGAGTTGAATCAGCAGAAAACCAAAAAGTTGAAGCTGAACTACAGGACGAAACATTAGCATCAGTGTCTGGGTTTGAACTCTGCTCTGTACACAAACTCCTCACATTAGAGATTTGCAGTTGTATTCCTTCAGCCTGACTGGAATGATCGGACATAGATCCACCCTCCCATTCAAACACTTCCTGCTCCACATCATCACAATTCTCTACTCTTGGTTTCACATCCAGACTTCGACCAGGGATAAGTCTGTACTGTAGTTTGTCTTTCACAACATTAGCACTTTTCGGATTCACTTTAGTTTTTATCAAGTTTTCTTCTTCAGGAAACAAAAACAGAGGCTCATCTTCAATCTCAATACATTCGTTTTTGACAGTCTGACCCATCATGTCACCAGTTACTTTGGCAGGTATTTCAAAATTATTATTAGAATGCATTATTTTTCCTTCAAAACTTTCATTTTTGACAGCAACAACAGGTCTTTCCTCTTCAAGATCCAGCATAATATTAGAACCAAACTCTTTTGTTACCATAGTCTCCAGACTTCCAATGTAAGGTTTTACATCTCTACCACTACAAACAGTACTATCAGTATCACCACTGCAACAAAAAGTTGAAAAAGACCTCGAAGAACTGGGGCCAGCAGTTTTCACAACAGACAAAACATCAGGGCCAGGCTTTACTTCTTCATCTCTGTCGGGAGCACAGAAAGGTTCAGTGCATGTTTGTTCTTTTTCCATTATATTGTCGTTGATACGTCCTGACGAAAACATCCTCTCTCCTTTTTCTCATCTCCACATTCAACACATTTTTTTCTTCAATTGAGCCTGGCCTAGCTGGCACGGTCATCACTTTCTCTGTACAATTTGTTCCATATATACCAAGAATCTTAGCCAAAACCTAACACAATGATTTCATCCGAAGGAAGAGGGGAGAATCCACCAATCGTTCAATGTGAGCTTACAGAAAAGACCTCTTGAGATTTGTGTTTGTTCACATTGCCACTTACAAAACTAGATCAGTCTAGATTCTAGATATTAGATCAACATCACTACACTCACGAAGTCGTGAGTCCGGTCTCTACCTTCTTTCCGGTATCTCTCCTAATTATTGTTTGGGTTAATGTTAATGTTACTCAACAAATCTACATCTAGATCTAGATTTAGAATCTAGAATCTCAAAATTTAGATATCTAGAATCTAGATCTAGAATCTAGATCTAGATCTAGACTCTACATTCCAGATCTCTAGATCTAGATCTAGATTAGAATCTACTACAGTGGAAACCATATATAACAGGCCCGGTAATAACAGGGATCCGGTAATAACAGGGATTTTCTAAATCCCTTTTTTTGCCTACTCTTTGTCTCTATTAAAAGTTATCGGCAATAACAGGGCCTCATCGGAGCCCAACCGGTTATAGCAGGGACAAAGGCTCATTAACATTGTGTAAAAAGTTAGAGAGAGAGAGAGAGAGAGAGAGAGAGAGAGAGAGAGAGAGAGAGAGAGACAGAGACACAGAGAGAGAGAGAGAGAGACAGAGACACAGAGAGAGAGAGAGAGATGTGTAGATCTAAGCCTACTTCTTTCATTATGGCCCCCAACAATGTCAAGCGCAAGAGAAATGCCTTTCAATTGACAAAATATACGAAATAACCCAGGCTGTTGACTAAAAGCAAGCTCCAATGGCAGAGATTTGTTATAAGTTCGACATTCCACAAGGGTCGATTCACACCATTATCATTCTCCAAGGAAACCTTTGCTCTGGATCGAAAGATGATGAGACTACCCGATGCTGTGGACCAAGCTCTTCTGATGTGGTATAGGCCTAAGGAGGCAAGGATAAATTTGGTGCCAAAACCCCTGTGCGTGGGTACTTGACTTGTGACAAGGGAAACTACCCATGAATAGGTGCAGCTGGATTAGTCCACAAATGCTTACTTTCCTTGCATTTCTGATTTAACAGGGATCGGATATAACAGGACTTTTTCTCTACTCCCACCATCCCTGTTATATCAGGTTTCCACTGTATTACTATGACATATGATCTTGATCTAGAGTACTAGATCTAGAGACCATTGGAAAACACCCTGACAACGTTGCTGTATTTCAAGCGTGGTCTCAAGCTTTAAGTTGAAGTTGTCGTAACAGATTTACCATTCCTTCTCGACTGTTCGTTTAGATTCATTGACAATGAATTGGTATTTAATCATTATACAAGAAATACAATCTGTCCTCTGCCTCTGTACAACATTTTCATTGAAACTGAATAACTGAATGTTAGTGATGGGCAGGTATCGATACTAGGTACTCGATACTTAGATACCTACAGGTATCGGTATCGGTACCGATACCTGCTCTTAACATCGATACCTATGTGTTATTTATCCCAGGGCTGCCAAAGCAAGAGACTTGGGCTTTGAGAATTTTTTGTTTAACAAAACTGATAAGTTTTCGTAGGGGGCAAGCGTTTTAAATTGATCTAGTGATTTTTAAACAAAAAAATAGAAGTTTTTC